ATATACATACACACACACACACACACACACACACACACACACACACACCTTTAAAGAAAATGCTCCAAACATCATAACCATGCCCGGTGTCCACATTATTATCATATGATACATAGTCAATGTGGGTTATGATGCTTGGAGTGTTTTTTTATTTAAAGGGATACATTAGGCAGTATTTGATTCCCTCCAGAAGAGCCAAAATATAACCAATCACCTGGAACATTTTACCATTTTAGTGTGGCTGACTGCACTTTGAGGAGGACGTCCTCCTCAGTTTCCTGTACAAAACTGTTCAGCAATCTTATTTTAGTGAAAATTTACACTCTATCTTGGACAAAACAAGCACACTGCAACGTCATGGTGTTTAAAAAGAGGAGATGGGAGATCAGCAGCTCTGCCCTCAGCATCTTGTAATGAAGTATGCGGTCTATGTGCCGTGGTGTGACGGAAAGATGAACCCAGTCCCTGGCATCTAGTAAGGAATTGTGTTGCCATCAGTGTGAAGTTGTGTCAGTCATAGGGAGGTATCTTGATGCTTGAGTTTATGAGTGGTGCGAGGATAGCCGTCTCTTCCACTCCATCAAGTAGAGAGCCCGGACACTAGGGATAAGTTCATAAATAACCCTACAATGTGTGTACGTGTGTGTGTTTATATACAAATGTGAGAAGGCTAGTTGTGTGTGTAGCTAGTTATGTGCAAGCAGCTGGTTTGGAATGTGTATGATAGAGGATTATGTGCTATGGCTGTGCGTTTGGTCAGTTAGATCTATGACCTATAGTGCATTATGTAAGATAAAACATTTTCCCAATTCACAACTTTTGTTCCTGGACACAAAGTTCTAATATTAGTGATGCTCTAAAATTTCGGCCGAAAATGGGCCTATCCCGTTTTGGAGCACTATGGGACAGGGGTGGAGGGGGAGAACACTATGGGACAGGGGTGGAGGGGGAGAACACTATGGGACAGGGGTGGAGGGGGAGAACACTATGGGACAGGGGGTGGAGGGAGAAACACTCATGGGACAGGGGTGGAGGGGGGGAGAAACACACTATGGACAGGGGTGGGGAAAGAACACCATGGACAGGGGTGGGGGAAAAGAAACTATGGGACAGGGGTGGGGGGAAAAGAACACCATGGGACAGGGGTGGGGAAAGAACACCATGGACAGGGGTGGGGGAAAGAACACTATGGACAGGGGTGGGGAAAAGAACACCATGGACAGGGTGGGGAAAAGAAACACCATGGACAGGGGTGGGGGAAAAGAACACCATGGGACAGGGGTGGTGGAAAGAACACCATGGACAGGGTGGGGGAAAAGAACACATGGGACAGGTGGGGAAAAGAACACCATGGGACAGGGTGGGGGGGAAAAGAACACCCTGGGACATGGTGAAAAGAACACCATGGGACATGGGTGGGGAAAGAACACCGACACATGGTGGGGAAAAGAACACCAGGGACATGGGTGGGGAAAAGAACATCAGGACATGGTGGGAAAAGAACACTGTGGGACATGGGTGGGGAAAAGAACACTGTGGGACATGGGTGGGGAAAAGAACACCTGTGGGACATGGGTGGGGGAAAAGAACACTGTGGGACATGGGTGGGGGAAAAGAACACTGTGGGACATGGGTGGGGGAAAAGAACACTGTGGGACATGGGTGGGGGAAAAGAACACTGTGACAGGGGAGGAGGGGAAGCACACTATGTGACAGGGGAGGAGGGGAAGCACACTATGTGACAGGGGAGGAGGGGATGCACACTATGTGACAGGGGAGGAGGGGGAGCACACTATGTGACAGGGGAGGAGGGGGGAGCAATACTACATGTGACAGGGAGAGGGGGGAGCACACCTGCGTGACAGGGGAGGAGGGGGAGCACACTATGTGACAGGGGAGGAGGGGGAGCACACTATGTGACAGGGGAGGAGGGGGAGCACACTATGTGACAGGGGAGGAGGGGGAGCACACTATGTGACAGGGGAGGAGGGAGGAAAGAACACTAAAAAAAGAGGGAGGGGAGAGAGGAACATTAAGGGGGGGGCACTAAAAGAGAAGGGACATTTTTCATATTAGATTAAATTCATTAAAAACTCTAATATTAATAAAATTATAGGGGGAAACTTTTAATTTTATATCATTTGGGGGAAAAAGTCAAATTCGGTTTCGGTTTTTGGCCAAGGGCATCCTGAATTCTCGGTTTTGGACCAGAATTTTCATTTTGGTACATCCCTATCTACTATTTGTGAAATTTGTCAAGACCTAAAATAAGTAATTGGTAACTCCATAAGTGACCTTGTCTTGAATTTAGACATTACAGCGAGTGTGGCATTTTAGATAAGGGAAAAACATTATGAACATGGATAAGATAAGGCACTTCCAAACATCAGCACCAGGTAATCAACCTAAGAGTTAATGACAGGAATTTTAATAAACTGTGTAAAAGCAGCAGACAAGTCACACAAATATAACATAACATTTAACTAATCAAGATGAGAGCACACCTGCATGCCAGGACCCAATTAGTTTCATGGACATACAGAGTGCATGTTATGTTACAGTCTACATGTGGGGAGGAAAGCTTTGGCTCACAATAAGACATAATGCATTTCAACAATGAAAGAAATAATTTGCATAAGTTTTCTAATGTGAACAACGTTATGTACTCCAGAGCAGAGAGCCACATGCAGTGCGGTGGCATGGGGGAGCAATGAAAGGTAGTTTTTACTTTTGTAAATCTGTCCCTTGGGGCCACCGCCATCTTTTTCAAGATACTGTTCAGCTAATGGCGCTTCATCTATGTGGAGCAATCATCAGTGCTGTACTCTTGTATATTTGCGAGAATACAACACTGATGTCTATGGAGGTTCCAGTAAGATTGCAGGATCCTCTGTAAACAGAGCCCTTTTCCCCTTATTAGTCACGAATGTCAGCTGAAGGTCTCATAGCAGTAGCTCTGCCTTTTTGTCAAGTAAAGAAAAATACATAAGACAAACTAGTCCATACCTTGTCTCATTCTATCTTTAAACTTTTCAGTGAAATTCCAACAGTCACTTTGAGCATTTCATAGAGATTTTATCTTGAAATTCTCATTTTGGGGCAGAGAGCTTAACAGAGACGCTTTAAAGAAATTGGTTATGATGCAGGGACCCTTTGCTTGCAGCCTGGCAATGTTCACATTTCGCTATAAACAAGTCTCTAGTGGCTGTCAGACTGACAGACACTACAGGCCCTTTCTCAACACAGATACAATATTTGAATATCAAAGGTCTTCACATATAGTGTCATCATGCACAGCATGATACTGCCAAACGCTTGGAATATTTTTCATAAAGAAGCATAATATTCAATGCTTCTCTGATTGCCACCCGTGCTATGTAACTGCAATATATCTCTGGATAATTGTACCACAGGTGGAGAGACTGCTTTGTGGAGACACCGTCTCGGTGCTGTATTACAGGTGAATTTAAAGAACTCTCTTGCATTTAAAAAAACATTTTTTTTAAATTTTATTATTATTAAATAGTGGACACCAATTTACAAAAATAAAAAATAAAGAGAAAATACGTAGGTTAACACGTGTGTTCTCCTTTAAGGAGTAGAAAAAATATTATCTAAATATCGGAGTACTGTTTTGTTCAACATAAATAATGATGGAGTATTTAACT